CACAACCATTGTGGTGTAATTGGTCCAAACAAGACATCCGTTCCTGGAGACGTTGGAACCGATTACTCGTATTTACGCGAGGAAGTGGAGCTATTGAAGGGATCTCTAGATCTGCACATGTGCAATCATCGAGAAGAGCTGTTAAGACGTCAAGTCGACGTTCTGGAAAAACAAGTGTCCCTCTGCAAAGAGTGTGAGCATGCTTTTAAAAGCGAGGTAAAGACCTTGCTTGAAAGTAGCAATGGAGTCTCCACCAGTTGTGTTGGGGACTATAAGAAGGACCTCGTTGAACAGCTGGGAAAGGAACATTCCGAAATAGAAGAGGAACTTCAACAGTGGGTTGAATTGAGGACGGAGACCAAAAGAACAAAGATTTGGAGGAGATTATTGAAAAAACAAATGAAGAGAATGTGAAGCTCTTGGTTGAGATCAGCGTCATGAAGAAGGAATTGAAAGCTTTGGAGATTGAAAACAACACTCTTCAGGCCGAGCTGAAAACCAAGAGAACGGACTTAAGGAGACTAAGAGTAAACGAGCATTACAACGAAAGAGAACTGCGAAATTTGAAACGTGATTTGAGGAGAAAGGAGCAAAGTTTGGACAATACCCTGGCTGAGAAACAGGAGCTGTTGGATAATATTGATTATTTAGAGGGAAGCCTGGGGTCTAGTCAGGCAGCCAATGAACAGTCGAACAAGCAAGTTGATGAGCTAAAGGTAAAAGAGTTTAATGAGCTGAAAGACGAAAAGTCTAAGATTATTGACCAACGTGAAGATCAGCTAGCCCAGAATGAGAATATAAACGCCAGTATCGTCTCAGAGAAGAACAAAGAGATAAGCGAACTCAAAAAACAAAATCTGACGGATGCTATCCAACTTCGGGATCACCTTACTACGTTAATGAAGGAAAACACCAGAATCATTTTACAGAATGCTGAAATGATGAATGAACTTGGAGAAAAATCGCGAGTTATTGAGCAACTCGAGGATCAGCTGGCAAAGTTGAAGCATGAAAATGCCAAAATCATCTCAGAGAGTAATAAAGAGATGACGGAACTAAACTACGAAAAGTCCAGGGCCATTGAAGAACTTGTGGAGCAACTTGCTAAGCTGATGAGAGAAAATTCCTCTTTGGCCATTGAACTTTCTAACATGGCATACAAGAATAAGAAGTTGACAGAACTCCAAGAGCAGGTAGAAAGCTTGAGGAAACACAAAAAGCTGATTCTATCTCAACTTGACTTGGTGGATCACAATTTAAGCTACACAGATGTTGAGATCGAGAAATTAATGAAAGATTTAGACCGCGGGATGTTTGAAAAAGATGTTCTCTGGATGGCCTTGGGATTCTCGTTGAAAAATTGTGCTACTAACGAGAAAGTACACGCTAGGGAAACAAGAAACCTCAAAAATCAACCAGAGGAAATGACATTTCTTCTGAACAAAACCAATTCTTGGTCCAACGTTAGTGGAAGAAAAAATCAAGTTCGTGTATGTCGCGAAAAGTTTTTGTTATGTAAATATTTATATGCCTTCTATCAAAGTTAATTTTAGGAGTTTTCTTTGTTTTTTACATGAAATCGCATGTAAATTGTAAAAATAAGGTTTGTTCTCGTTTCCAAATTACAGAGAGTAAAAAAGAGAATGAAATAGATGCTGTGCAAATTGCATTTCTACATGTAATTGTAATATATTATGTCTGCTCCCGATTGTGGTCCACTTGTACCTGTATGACTTCACCGGTGAATCTTTGGATCTTAGTATAGTAACAGACCTATGGGAATCGATCTCTCTGAGCGCGCACAGGGTAGCCTGCGAGCAAGCTCTTGTTGTTGGCAGCGCAAGCAAAGCCGTTACCAGTCGGCGAGCGATAGGCCAGGACCCTCACCAGCTCGAAACCTCGTTCTCAAGCACTCTCCTCTGCCTTCCTTGGTCGTTGGAACAAAGACCCTGCTTGCCGCTGGTCACGTGACCACCTGTGACACAAACTTTTCCACGGAGGTAGAGTCAACGAATAATTTTTGTCGATCTCAACTGAAGTGAAAGAAAGGCGATCGCTGGTCATCTCTTTATTAAACCACACACAGGCAAATACACCATTTTATTATCCAACTGCAGCGAATACAGTCCAAATAACAGTACAAATATACAGCGATATTGCACAGTTATTTGTACAGTAGAAAACTGCAAGTCAGAATACTCGGCTAATCGGCTGTGTGACAGAAATACTTTTTAGCATCCAAAAGACCATAAAACGAAGAAATGAAATTACTTCCGAATTCAAAGATTCAAGAGACTGATTCACTGGTTTCACTTCGATTCGGTATATGGCATTTTACATGTGCTAACCGTCGAAAGGTTTGAGCTCCATTCGGCTGCCAAATTTTTTTGTGAACGAAAGTCTTCTATATTTTGGAGATGGTAGAAATAAAGTACCATTATTCATCGGCAAAATTCCACATCAAACCCCGATAAAGTGGGTAGTTTTTAGTGACTGTTCGAGGTTTTGAAACCCAGAAAGTTTGCCACAGCAACAATCAAAACACTCTGCCACCCCTCCCGCTCAACAGGGTTTTTTTTACCACCCTGGGTGGCCAAGTAACCAGCCGCAACTAGGGTCTTTCTTCCAACGACCAAGGGAAGCAGAGAAGAGAGAGCCTGGGAGCGAGGTTGACCAACGTAAACTTGCTTCACTCGCTGACTCATCTCTCGCTACTTTGCTCATCGACTTTGCTTCTCCCTGAACCCATGAAAGGCTGCTCGCAGACATCGCACAGGGTAATAAATAGCGCTCGTGGTAAAAAACAAAGAAGTGCCCGTCATAAACGGT